GGGTGGCAGTTATGACGATGACAGTGGTAGGATGGTGGTCGGGTGGCTGTGAGTGGATGGGTATAACAACGGCAATAGTGGCATGGTAGTTAGTGGTGGGGTGGAGGTAAGTGGCAGCTGTGATAGCGACAATAATGGTATGGTGGTGGTGGGGGTTAGGTTAGGGGCGTGATAGTAACGGTAGTAGCATGGTCGTAGCAGGGATGTGCAGTGAGTTACCGGGGTGGGTGGGTGTGATGACAACAGTAACGGCATGGTGGTTAGTGGTGGGGTAGGGTGGGTGGCGGTGACATTAGTGGTGTGGTGGTGGTAGTGGGGGGTTAGGGGTGGGGCATCACAAACAGTAGTAGCATGGTCGTTGTGGGTGTTGATGGAATTCAATTTCTTCCATTATGCTAAGGAATGATGAATTCCTTAACTTGTGGAATTCATTGGAATTTGAAGGATTCCATCCATTTCAAGATACGAACCAAACAAAGGAATGAAATTTGGTCAAAGGAATTTATCATTCCAATTCCATCAAATTCCTTCGAATTCCACGAACCAAACGGCCCCTTAGGGTTTGTTTAGTACACGAACAAGAGTGGATGAGCCTAGACCGGTGAGGGGGAGGTAGTAGAAAGAATTGTAGAAGTTTGTAAGGTTTTATTTTGACATCGGTAGTTTAGTAATTTACCTATCTTGTCCATCTCTCGGAATTATGTTCCACCCATTTTGGTGGGACAAAAAACTGCATTTTGTCCCCCTTAGTCCTGTCCTATTGTAATTGCCGCACCAAACATGGACAACAAGTTTTTGTTTTGTACCTTCCCATGTACCAAACGCATAATATGTGCTCATCTTGTGTCCAAAGCCCCATTGCTAACCTTCATCTATTTCTAGTGTTTGCAAGGTTTCTTGGGGTTGGATACACCTACATTTTCTTATAAGTGCAATGCAACCCTAGGCTGGGTAGAGTTCATTGGAATATGATTTGGTGAAAATATGTAATAGATGGTCAATTATCCAAAGCTTGGTTCTTTTCTGCATCCCTAGTGCAGTAGTGCTAAACATGCCATAAAACAGAACAAGAAATCACAAAAACAGGAAAGAGTTTTCATTACAATAATGGTGGAAATGTATACACAGGTGCTGAACCAAAAAACCCGATGGCATTAAAGAATACAACGTTTTTATCTAGACATGCTAGAAAGCTCGTCCATACTCAAAGGGCGAGCAATTCCGTGTACAATGAAATTCTTCGATACAAACACATCCGGTGCAGTAATCGCCACTCCGTTGATAGAAACGATTTGGGAAAGTTTTGATGTTTCCGTAATGTCAACATGTTTACCTTTAACCAGCGTTCCTAGCGATGAACCTGCTGGAAATCCAGCTAACTGTCGGAAAGAATGTCTCTGTGGAACTATATGAAACCTCATGAATTTATCCAGCAATGGTGAAGGCATGGCCATTAACGCGATATTTGGAGGCGTGAAAATCGTCACCGACTTCAAATCTGGAAAATCTTTAAGAATCCCGTCTGTGACCGAGTTCAATCCGATTGCGAATGGCATGAACCCGGATGAACTGAGAAATTTGACCACTTTTCCCCATTCATCTTTGTTCTTGATGAGACTGCCGGTAGAACTAGGACCACCACTGTGATCGGATTCACAAACTGGTAACTTGATGTTTTCTTGATGATGATCGAACGAAGCAAAAGAACCCGCGACACCATGAATCGCGACGGTTCCTTGAAGAAACAGATCCGGGTGAGTAATCAACATGTTATTGATTTCAAGAACACGATTCTTGTAATCGTTCTTCGTGATCATAATTCTCTGCTGTGAAATCAAGGTGGGTAAGCAGGTTTTTGTGGGTTTCTTGAACAAATCTTGAATGGTTAATTTGGAAGGAGAAATGTGGTACGCAAGGAGTTGTTTGGTCATGTAAGGCGGGATGGAGAGGTTGGTGATGGCGGCATCAGGGATGGCGAAGACGGTGGATTGTGGTGTTGAGAGGAAGAGCTCCGGCGTGATGTGGAGGAAGGTGGCTATGAAGTTGAACCCATTTGATCGGAGCAATTGGGAGGCGTTGGATGCGAGGTCTGTGAATGATGATGAGTTATTGGGGTGGCTGACGTAGTGGTGGTGGTGGTGGGAGCGGAGGGTGGCGGTGATTATGACGGCGAGAACCATGGAGGCGGAGGTGAAGAACACTCCCTTACCCATCTGTATGTCTTGATTGGCGGTGAGAATTACAGTGTAGGGGAAGGCGGGAATTGAATAGATATAGGTTTGGATTTATGTATCTATATTATCATAAAAGACCTTGGACTTTTGGTTATGTGCAAGATCAGTCCATCACCATATTAAAGTGTAAAACCACCCCCTTGAAGAATAAATAAATTTTCATTTTGGATATTCTTACAAAATACAAAATAATTCATTTTTTTTATTAACATGGATATCCAACCTGCTATGTGAGTCGACTAATTCTAGGGCGACCACCTGCTTTGCAAATAGTCTGAAGTCATTGCATTTGAACTTCTTTGGTCACAAAAAGATTTTTATTCCTCATTGGATTTGAACCTAAGACCTCCTGTTACTTTTAACTTTTGGAGTCAAACTTAAGGAGAATGCTAATGGCACCTTTTAGTAGGGGGTGTTGAATGTTTGAAAATTATGCATCTTTTAAAATATACTAGTTGTGTACCCGCGCAATGCGGCGGGAGCCATGAATTTAAACGATTTTAAAGTTCCACTGATTTTATAAGATAAGATTTAACGATGATATAGGTTACAGTTGGTTTTTACATATTATATAATGTTTTAAACATATTTTGAAACATTATTATATATAAATCTTACAAAATCCCGTGAAATTCCAACCATACCAATGAGATTTCAAAATCCTATGTGTGATTTATATAGTAATTGATTAAGACCAATCATATCAAGTACATGTAGTAGAAATATTAGCAACAAATGTAACCTTGAAAAATTCCCTTTTAAACAATAAAATCTAACCTACAAATTCTAAAAATCATCATACGATTTTATGCGTTTTAAAGAAAACAATAATGATTTTATTTTTGAATAAWATATAAATTTGAAGATATCATAAAAATTTGAAAAAAATTATATCAATTTTAATATCAAATCAACTATTTAAAAGTTTTTACTTTTTATGTAATTTCTTTAATTT